ATTCGGGTACGATTTGACTCCAGTTTCGGCCTCGCACCTTTTTGGGGGTGCTAGGCGAGGTTGGAAAGATTTCACCATCCGTCCTTCATCAACTTAGACTAAATGGGCGGAATGTATCTCAAATATATGTTCTGATTTAGAGAGAAGTGAATTGATGATCTTAAAATGCAACAATTTCAGGATTTTCATTTCTTGCCAGCCTGGAAATGGTTGACTTACAAAAGCGTTTAACACTTCCTCGGTCGAGCATCTCTACGAGAGATCTTAAGAACAGCTGAAATGCGGACAAGATCGCAGTAGCCAATTCTGATCCGGCTGCTCCCACAGTCCCAACCGTAGGGTGGACCTTTTTCAGCCGACTTCTGCCTCGGCCACGCTTGATGCTGGTTGACTCGACCACCCCCGACCATTGGCAACATGCTCCAAGGCTAAGTCAGGCTCGGAAAATTAGTTGAGAAAGCGTTGGGTCAAGTGACGATCTTGCCCTCCAGCATTTCATCAAGGCTTCAAGTAGGCCTGGGCCAAATTTCCGAACAATATGCAGCCTGGGGCTGTATGGATGCGGAGAATTCACGAAGGAACAACTTTATTGCCAAGGGTCAGGCCCGACCCAGTCAAATTGCAAATACATGCGCATTCGAGGCTATCAAGGCAACAATAAAAAATATTATTTTGTCCATAATCAATATATTATAAAAATGTAATTGGGAATTATTTCACCGACCGTTCACAAGTTGAAGGTGAAAAACTGGTATCGTTTTTGGCATACACACGAGCAAACGTATGCATGCCTACAAGTAGACCTGCTGCAGTCATTTGCCTCAGTGGACGGTCGTGCAGACATGCGACCGACCTGCACGACGACATGTCTACACGCCTGACGATGCAAGCAGACAGGCTGGAGAGATAACTGGAGGCGGTTTATTGCTGGAGGGGAATCGTAAAATTTTATGGCTTCACATCTGGCCAACGGTATCTCGGGTCGGCCTACCGGGTGCTGGTTGTTGTGGAGTGTCCTCTCGGTGTAGAGGCCCAAGTGGCCCGACTGCAGTCGCATTCAACTGGCCGCATGTAGACGGGTAGATCCTTGTTCGAGAAGGGGAGGAGGAGGAAGAAGAAGAGGCATAACAACAGCCGGATCAGGTCCGACTCGGAAGAGGGAGTGACTTCACTGCTACGTCATACTCGAGGAATATGAAGAAACTCACGTTTAGCGTCATCTGGTGACAAAATGACATCGACGGCCGGAATCCTTTCGCAAGAGAAGAATAGGTGACGACCTCGACTCGGCCACCATGAGTGAGTGGACAGTATGTTCACGTGTGATCCGACTTGCAATTGCAGAGAAAAACTGGGCTGGAAGGAGTCTGCGAGAAAGTCCTCGGCTCACCCCCCTGCGAGTTCGATGCATCTGTACTCTGGCCGGCATCAGAGCAGATCAGAGCAAGAATTCAGACTTTATGAAATATCGCGGCAATATACTCTTCGTTTAGTATATTGTTGTTTCTGATGCGACCAATTGCCAATTCCTTCCAACCAACTTTCCTTCGAAATGGATAGTCCAGTTACAATGACTCACTGTGGGATTCTTCGAAGCTTAGATTTTCTTCATATGCACGAAGATGTTGTGATTTTCTGGAACGCAACTTTGCATCGAATAAAATAGGCTACAATTTATTATCACAATTCTCATTCAATCTCTGCAAGTCGGACAAGTTGGAGCCATCCTGATTGTTTAATGGAAATAATTTCGAAGAATGGGCACAATGTCGGTCGTGGCTGTGGACCGTCCCCCGATTCCACACCTAGTTTGCGTCATTCACAAAACTGGCCTGAGGCAACATAAGCGTTTTCACGTGAATTGACTACAGCAAAAATAAGCGTCAAGCGGCTTCACAAAGTTACTTAAAGTGTCATAAAACATCAATTGTGTTTACTTCCAATTCGTGAGAAAGTTAGAGATGTTAGGCCTCATTAGTTGATTTCATCAGTTGACGACGGCAGCTCTGGCTTGACAGCTATTGTTTATTCCCGCTGGGGCGTCCGAGTTGACAAAGTCTTCGAGACATCCTCTTTCGGTGGGAAACTTCAAATATCAGTCCTTCATCGGACCCTATTCGAGCCAACTTGTATGTTCAAATATTGTTAAGGGAACTTTCATTTGATCGTGGTTTGGTTAATTATCTTTCATACTCGTCCTGCTACTTTTGCTCGAGTGTATGCGAATGTGTATGTGTGCATGTTAATGTCTATATTCAATACGGTTACTAAATCAGATTTGTCAAAAGTTTCAACTCAGGTTCTGATCATCAAGACCTAATGACCTCAAAAAAAGCCCTGACCGCGACTGCGTAAGTCCCTAAGCAAGTACGATTGAGATGATGAGATATGAGCTTGTAAGTATGTAAGTCAAGTTACGAAACCACTTGTCCCAACCTCTCAATCTAGGTTCATTAACGTTTAACCCTCCAAGGAAAGGCATGACTGGGGCTATGTAATCTGGTACGTCTGGTTTGGGTGATGAGCTTAATCTAATATGTTGGACGAATGTGAATGAAGTTAAAACCATCACCTTCTTTTTGACGGCGGCTCAACACCCTCTCTCTCTCTTTCATTCTGTCAATCGAGCATGA